TGACCACACCCACGCCAGCTGTGTTCAAGGGGGGTAGCGGGAAGCTGGTGCTGAGCCCATCCACGCCAGCTGCAGAGATCCCAAGCCGGGCGACCCGCCGCCGCTGAGCACACCCACACTGGCTTCAGAGACCCCAGGCTGGGCGTTCCGATGACCACACCCACGCCAGCTGTGTTCAAGGGGGGTAGCGGGAAGCTGGTGCTGAGCCCATCTACGCCAGCTGCAGAGATCCCAAGCCAGGCGTCCCACCACCGCTGCTGACCGCACCCACATCGGCAGCCGCTGACGCTCTTCATTCTCCTCTCATCGCCAGCCGCCCCCTTTCACTCACAATGTTCCGGCTACGAAGCAGTAAATCGCAGCTCAAGGGTATCCCCGAGGTCCCAGGAAGTTCTCATAGCTAGACCTTGAACCAACAAGCCCCCGAAAAGGACAATCATCTCCCCGAAGCTCTCCTCAAACATGACAGGACACCATCTTGGGCATGTGCATGTTTCCTTATTACTTATTTGTACCCTATGACTTATCAATAAGTGTTGTACCTTATGATTCTTGGTGATATACACTGTCTTTTTATATACACTGAGAGCATCTGCACCAAAGACAAATTCCTTGTGTGTCCAATCACACTTGGCCAATAAAGAATTCTATTCTATTCTATTCTATTCTATTCTATTCTATTCTATTCTATTCTATTCTATTCTCTCTATTCTTTTTTCCTGTTCTGTTCTAGTCTAGTCCATTTGCTTCCCTTTCCTTCCCATCCCATCCCATTATGCAGAATCAAGGTGCAGCCTTACGTGCTATTCAATGAGGAACTGAAGTGAGGATGGGAGCTCACCCTGTCACACATGGAGCTCAAGTCTCGAGCCTGGGCTGCTGGCTTTCCACCTGACAATTGGCCTATTGCCTGAACTGCTGATTCACCACGCCATAATCGTATAAAAGCTAAGTTCTATGTGCAATCCCCCCAAGACATTGATGAATCACGTTCAAAATGGTCTTTCAAGTACAGACATTGCTTTAGGCATCTGAGATCTCTGTATCTTAAGAGTAATTTTAATAGAGTCAAAAGCATTTTGGCCCCTACTTTAGTCAATTTAGTTGACTCTGACATCATGGCCTTCAGGAATCATTCAGAATTTGTCTTGATTAATGTAATAATAATGAGCAAATTTTGAAAAATAAATGAACTTTTTGTTTTTCACAACTCAACCCCAAATGTAATTTAAATCCAAAGTGTCCCTCTATTGTCAAATAAAAAAGAAAATCACAGGCGTTTCACTTCAGGATTTGGTAGATGGTCTCTGAACCAATTGTTGGGAATTGTTAGTTTTTATTTGTCATACAAGTAGAGGAAGAACCTCATCCGTCTGCAGAATTGTACAAAACGTTCATTAAATATAAAACAGCTTTTACTGAGAATACATCCATTTCACATGCTCTCTCTCACTCTTTATATATTAAATTAATATTTCAACTATACAATATTTACAGTTAGTTAGGAAAAATATCATTTATGAAGATTAAAAAACAATAGTCCCGTAAATAATTAACCATATAAATCACTCAAGTTCTTACCGTAAGGAAACTGGCAAGAATCACTGAATCAGCTGTAAAACACCCAGCTACATTTCTAACAGATTAGATTTTCTTGCTTCCAGTTGAAAGACAGTCTGATCAACTGGCTCCCTGGTTAAAGAATAAACCAGCATGCTTACAGGCCAGAATTAACCAAGGTCAAACTATACATTTGGAACGATTACAGGATCAAAATGGCGATGGAGAATTCGGGGTCTCAAGGCAGTCCTCTACATCAGGGGTCTCTCCAACCTTGGCAACTTTAAGACTTGTGGACTTCCAGCGAAGCTGTCTGAGAAAGTCTGGGAGTTGAAGTCCACAAGTCTTAAAGTTGCCAGGGTTGGAGACCCCTGCTCTACATAACTTTGAGGACAGCCTGGAGATAGGAGATGCAAGACATTTCTGGCTCTCTGTGGCCTTTCTCGTATGGCCTGCTGAGTTTGGGGGAGATCTTAGCCAGCTTCTAGCTTCTCATGTACTGTAGCTTTTAGAGGTGGAAGGCTCTTCCTTCCTCTTCCACACCACCTAATAGCAGCTTCTGAGCATTTGGGGACTCATCCAACCAACTTCAAAATTAGTAGCTTCATCCCATTTGGAGGATGACCTTGGATGTGGAGTGGATGGATTCAGAAGGGCTGGTTGTTGTCAGACTTTCTTTGACTGGTTTGTTTCTGAGAATTTGGAGCTGCCCAAGCTGCCATTTCACTCAGGTGACCAGAGGGGATCTAAGATGCATTCACTGGTGTAGTCAGTGTTTTTTGCTGAATTATTTGCAGATTACTGTTAAAAGTAGTGTTTCCTCCCTTTGTGTCTCCCCCCCTCCCCCACCATGGGCCTTGGCAGCATCTAAGAGGAAGTACAGAGAAGGAGGTCCTGGCAGATCAGGAGATTGGCTAAGTGGAGAAAGAGAGGACAAATGATACAGTGCCCTTGCTCAGGGAGATCTCCAAAACACAGAACACACCTTTTCCATACACTGCAGAATGCTCTCTGGCTACGGTATTTAAACAGTAACAGGGTTGGGAGGAACCTTGGAGGTAATCTAGTCCAACCCCCTGCTCACGCAGGAGACCTGTGCTAGGGATTCAAACTGCCAAACTGCCAACCTTTCTGATCAACAAGCTCAGTGTCTTAGCCACTGAGCCACCTAGTCGGGCTATTTCTCAGGCCCTTCTTTGGGGGTCATTTCCAAAGTAATTGCTTTAATGCTTGGCTCTACTTGGCTTTCCCTTCCTTCGTGCTCAAATTCTTCAAAATGCAGGCTTGTACTTGTGCTCCTACGCAGGGCGAATCTAACGTGACACCCATGCTGAGTCTGGGAAGTGGAGTGGCCATCTTGAAGGAAGCTCTCTGTCTCCCTCCTGCCTCAGCAGCCCAGATAATTCTGCGGTTCCAGTGCCATCCCTTTCCTGTTGCCCTACGTCTCACCATAAGGACGGAGCTCCTGAAATCCTCGAGATGAACAGGCTCGTAAACAGACAGGCTAATCTTGCCTAATCTTTCTCTTTGCCAGCCGCAGCATTAAAGGCTGACTGCCGTCTCCCCAAAAGAGTCAGCATCCAACAAAGTGTGAGCTACAAAACAGTAGAGATTTCCCTCAATTCCCTGGGGTGGTTTTAAGACCCAAAGATTTCACGTGGTGTCACAACCTGCAAGCCTTGATTGATGTACCTGGACTGAACCTTCCATTATGCCGAAGGAAAAGGAAGCAGGAAGTCTGGGAATTCCAAACTTTTCCTCCATTGTCTTGATTCTTATTAATTCCTGGGGAATTCTCATCAGCTGACAGATTGGAGTCCTGGAGAAAAGAGCATTCCCTCCACTTAAGCAAAAGAAGACGAAGGTCTGGAATAATTTCAATCCCTTTTGGCCTTAAATCGCTGAAGAGAGGGAAGTCACTATCTCTCTAGACTTGTATTTTATTGTAGTATTTCTTGATGCAGTATTTCATTTTTAGGGTTTTCTTGATAAATCTTACATGTACTACTCGGGGCAAATTATTTCTAATTGCATATCTTGTATGTACTCTAAATGTTTCCTTCTTTCCACCTAGAATCTGTTCCTTACTCATTTCTGTGGCCACTGGGAGGATCTCTGCTAAGTCCTCGCCTTTCTCCTCTTCGATGTTCTGAAGTCTTAGATAGTATGCAGCTCTTTCCATCTCCAATTGAATGCGAGATCCATCTTGCTTTTTATCAATTGTTATCAGTCTATAATCCATCACTTCCACTTTTTTCTCTGGCTTTTTTTCATACATGCGCTCCATCCCTGTTTCTGTGCCAAGTGCAGCATTAAAAACTTCTCACTTGCTGAAGTGTCTCTGACACCCATGGCTCTCCTCTCCTTTCTCCAAGGCCACTTCATGCTTCAACATGAGAACCTCTTGTCACCTTTGACTTCATTCTACCTCCACCCTCTGCTACTCTCCTGGTGCTTCCCACGTGTTGCACCATACAAGTACACCTACCTACTAAGGAAACAGTGATTGCAATTAAAAAGCCACAGGGAGTCACAGGGAGTCCTCAACTTATGACCATAATTGAGCCCAAGATTTATGCTGCTAAATGAGACATGTGTTAAGTGAGTTTTGCCCCAGTTTACAACCATTCTCACCACATTTGTTGTGAATCAATGCAGTTCTTAAATTAGTCTGTTAATTGAATATGGTTCTCCCCATCAACTTTGCTTGTCAGACGGTCCCAAAAGGGAGGGAATCCCATGTCCCTGCGACAATGCAACCGTCATAATTGTGAGTCACTTGCCAAGCATCTGAATGTAAATCACATGATCATGGGGATGCTGCAATGGTCATAAGTGTTAAAATAGTCACATTTCAGTGCCGTTGTAACTTCAAACAGTCATTAAATGAACTGTTGTAAATTGAGGACTCCCTGTATTTTGTGCTGAGATGTGTCCTAATACTGATCCCCCAATTCCCAACCCGCTCAAACCAGATTAAGATATTTTTCAAAGGTTGCAGGAAAGTGGTTTGGACAAATCCAGTCAGTCCTGAACCTGAAACCTGGTTCAATAAACACATGTCTGCTACATCTGACGACAGCCCTTAACAAAGCAGACTACCGTTTTTGGACTATAAGACACACCGGAGTATAAGACCCACCATGATTTTGAAGAGGTAATTTTTTTTTTAAAAAAAAAGCCCTCTGCAGGCCTCTCAAACTCTCTGCACGCCTTGTTTTTTGCAAAATAAAAAATAAAAAACGCCAAAAAACAAAAAGCTTTGGGAGGCTCTTAGAGTGCTATTCGGGGCTGGGGGGGCAAAAAACACCCCCTTTTTGCTCTTTTTTGCCCTCCCCAGCCCTCAGGAGCACTTTGCAAGCCTCCCAAACCCTCTGAATGTTCATTTTTGCAAAGGGGGTGGGGTTTCAATCAGCCAAAAATGTTGTATTCAGTGCATAAGACGCACCCAGATTTTCACCTTCTTTTTTGAGGGAAAAAGGTGCATCTTATACTCTGAAAAATATGGTGATCCTTTAAAGGCCTTTTAAAACTGGCTCTCCCTGACTTAGGTGGATTAATAGACTCCCCAGAAGATCAGGAGATGTTTTGCAGGATCAGACCAGATTATCTAACATCTTGTCCTCACAATAGCCAGAGGCAAACTGAGAGCCCCAAAGCAGGCAGCAGCTCAGGTGCTTCTTCACAATTGTGCCTTTTAGTAAAGGGTGTTGAAAGAATTCTTCTAACCCTGGAGACAATTTATGGAGAAACAACCCCCCAGCACAAAGCTTAACCTCTGGATCATGTTGCTGAATCATAACACAGGAACATGCTTGTTAGGAAGACTTAGTTCTCATGTTCCTTGAACCAAAGAAGCAAAGGGAAATTAAAGGGTGGAGGATGCACTCCATGAAACAAAGGATCGATTTCAACATTCTGCTCCAACTTGAAGTCTACCCATCAGGTGGCCTCCTTCAGATCTTAGTTTCTGGTCCACACGGATTGAACACTGGGAAAGAATCGCGAATCCTGGCCAGTTCCATAGCACAGAGATGGCCAAAGACCTTGTTGTACCAGTCTGGAGACCTCCCTCTAGAAGTGCAACAAAAGCAGGGAATTAGCAACAGAATAATAGAGATGGAAAGGATCTTGGAGATCTTGTAGGCCAACCCCATGCTCAGGCAGGAGGCATGATACCATTTTAGACAAATGGCTGTCCAATCTCTTCTTAAAAGCCTCCAGTGATGGAGCACTCACAACCACTGATGGCAAGCCGTTCCACTGGTTAATTTTTCTAACTGTCAGGAAATTTCTCCTTATTTCTAGGTTGGTTTTCTCCTTGATTAGTTTCCATCCATTGTTTCTTGTCTTGCCTTCTGGTGCTTTAGAGAATAACCCAACTCCCTCTCTTTGTTGCAACCCCTGAGATATTGGAAGATTGCTATCATGTCCCCCCAAGTCCTTCTTCTCACTAGACTTGACATCCAAACTCCTGCAACCATTCTTCATGTTTTAGCCTCTAGCACTCTGATCTTCTTTGTTGCTTTTCTCTGCACCCTTTCTAGAGTCTCAACACTCAGGCCAAGCGTTCCCTTCCTGCAAGCATAAATGGGACCCAGAACCAAACAAACTCAATCATCTGGAACCCCAGAAGCAATGTGGGGCAGGGGAAGGTAAGGTTGAGTGTTATCTTTGATTGCACAAGATAAGCAGAAACAAAATACTAAAAGAGGAAATCTAAGTTTACTACAATCAAATTAAGTTGCAAAAACCTGGTCTTGCTTTCAATTAGGTTATCTTGGGGAAATATTTGTGCACAGCAAGATTTCCCCACATTTCAAGATTTGACTAAAAACCAACAGGTTTAGATGAAGGTATTTTTTTTCTCTGGGGTGGAAACAATATTCTCTAATCTGTTGCTCTCAGAACTCAACTTCAATAATAGCTAGCCAGTGTAGGAACTGTGGCATTGAAACCAGCACATCTGACAGCAGCTTGGAGAAGCCCTGTCAGATCTACAATGAAACTGCCACCCTTTGGACTGAGAAATTCTCTTGGCTAAGCAAATTGGAAGGATCTTGGCTTGTTGTGTTGCTGAAGGCTCACCCCTTTTATGCGGGAAGAGGTCAACGAGATGCCCACCTCCCTGCCATTAAACGTAGGACAGCTGGCTGGGATTCTTACCGGAGATCAGTTTGACAGATATGAATCACCCTGGAGTGTCCTGATCCACAAGGCTCCATCAGGTATTGGGAGGTGAGCACCGTGGCCCTGACTCCAACTTCCAGTGGCAACTTCTGATGCTCCAAAGAGAAGGAGACCAGGAGGCACCTCCCGCCGGGTAGGTCTGTCCGCCATGACCTGGAAAAGGTGAGCTTGGATCAGGTAGGACTAAAGCTGTCTGCTCCTTCCAGTTTCAAGAAGCTACCCAATGAAGCAACTGATGGGAGAGTAGCTGGGATCCTCAGGCAAGAACAGATCTTGTGTAGAGGCCAGGTAGCTTTTGGATCAAAGGACAGACAGAACCCGGCAAAGGTTTAGAATGATTGCCAGCACTAAATTTGCTTGAAAGTCGAGCACAATGTTAGGAGGCTTCACTCCAGTTTGGATACTAAAGAGTCGCCTTTTCAACTAACACTGAAGCTCTGATTCTAACTTTCAACCAACCTAGGCTGAATATCAACCTGGCTAGAGCCTGCTCACCACTTATATCGCAGAAGCACTGAAAAACTAGGTGGCAATTCTGAGAGTGGGGGAAAGAAGGGCTTTGTTTCCAGAGAGAAACAGAAATAGCAAATTTTAAAAAATTAGCAGGCAGATGAGAGCTGGGCCTGGGGGTGGGATTATTATCTTTTACTACCGGTTCTGTGGGAGTGACTTGGTGGGCGTGGTAGGGGAAGGTTACTGCAAAATCTCCATTCCCACCTCATTCCAGGGGAAGGATATTGCAAAATCCCCATTCCCTCCCCACTCCAGGGGAAGGTTACTGCAAAATCTCCATTCCCTCCCCACTCCAGGGGAAGGTTACTGCAAAATCTCCTTTCCCTCCCCACCCCAGGGGAAGGATACTGCAAAATCTCCATTTCCTTCCCACTCCAGGTGAAGGATACTGCAAAATCTCCATTCCTACCTCACTCCAGGGGAAGATTACTGCAAAATTTCCATTTCTTCCCCACTCCAGGGGAAGGATATTGCAAAATCTCCATTCCCATCTCACTCCAGGGGAAGGATACTGCAAAATCTCCATTCCCACCTCACTCCAGGGGAAGGATACTGCAAAATCTCCATTCCTACCCCACTCCAGGGGAAGATTGCTGCAAAATCCCCATTCCCTCCCCACTCCAGGGGAAGGATACTGCAAAATCTCCATTTCTTCCCCACGCCAGGGGAAGGACACTATTCCCTCCTGATTAGCTGGAACTTGGGGGGCAAAGAATAGATGGGAACAGAATCAGTCAGAGATGGTATTTACCAGTTCTCTAAACTACTCAAAATTTCCGCTACTGTTTCTCTAGAACTGGTCAGAACCTGCTAAATCCCACCACTGGATGAGTCCTAATTATGTGGAGCTACCTGAGAGAGAAGCAGCAGACCAGGGCTGCATCTCACAGCCACTTCTAATTGCTGCAGCCCAAAATTGAGAAAAGCGGCACGAACCTGGAAATGTTGCATGAGAGGGAGAGAGAGCAAAGAAAGGCTCCAAAACGAAGCCCAGGAACTCTCAGTTGCTTCCCAAAGGCAGAAGAGAGCTTCCTCCACTGCAGCTAAAAAGATCTAGGCAAAGGATTAGTGCAGGGAGCAATGGGATCAGAGACCCGAAGATGGGATACGGTGTTGGTTTACGGAGATTTTCCTTCTAGAGTTCCTCACCTGAGGACCACAAAGTCCCGCCGTGGGTGGGGAGCCATGCTATCCGTTACATAATGGTAGACTTCGGTGTTCTTGTCCAGGGCCTCCACCACATGGCCCTGCAGCAGGTCCTCATCCCAAAAGTGGCGCTCCCTGAGAATCCGCTTGAGCACCACGTGGGGTGGTGCGGCCACTTCTGTGGAGACCTTCCAGAGTCGCAGAGGATGCCCATCCTCCACCTGGATATCACAAAGACGTTTGTCAGCTCCAGAGAACACTAGGCCAGCTGCCAAGACCCGTACTTACCAGATGGAGATCTCCATCCTCCACAAGCAGTCCAGCTGAGAACTCTACATAATTTTTCATGACTGACTGCCGGGAAGTTTCCACCGAGAACATTCCAGAGCTGATAACTGACTGAGAACAATCCATGCTTGATTGCCGGGGTGGTTTTTAGTCTGGGTCACGAGGTGATGGATGTGCATGTGCAGGGGTGGGAGTGGGGTTTAGCCTAATTACTGCCTAATTGAGAGCACCGGATGTCAGCTCTGACAATTTATTCATTGCCTTACTGCTTTGTTGGTCAGTTCGTGCTGGAGGAAGACAAAACTATCTCTGTGTTTGGCTGTTTTCATTAACTCTTCGGAACCTGACAACATTGTTATTGCTTTAGGGTCAGTGGTGGGATTCAAATTTTTTACTACCGGTTCTGTGGGCATGGCTTGGTGGGCGTGGTAGGGGAAGAATATTACAAAATCCCCATTCCCTCCTGGTACTCAGGAGGCAGAGAATAGATGGGGTGGGGCCAGTCAGAGATGGTATTTACAGGTTCTCCGAACTACTCAAAATTTCTGCTACCAGTTCTCCAGAACCAGTCAGAACCTGCTGAATCCCATCCCTGTTTGGGATCAGGCAGAGTCCCAGTGGCAGAGCCATCCCCCATTCCCTGAAGACCGTCATCCTTGAATGCTGCCAAGCCATCCCTTAGCAGGAAGGCCTTCTCTACTGCTGCCCCATCCTTTGTAACATCTGGCTCCAGAGGTGAGGCAGCCCCTACCTTCTGCCTTCTAGAAGTGTGTTAAGACTGACTCTGCCAATTAGAAGGGGGATGGCTGGGGGCTCGAGGGGCTCTTCTGTCTTGTCACACCTTCAGCATTTTTAACTCCAAATTTTAGTTTTACCTTGTAAATTCTAACTTTTTTTCTCAATTCCATTTTACATTTCTATGATGTTGTTGTAAACCAGCCAGAGTCCCTTAGGCGAACTGGGCAAAATAAACAAATAAATGTATGTCCCCCTCAGCTCCTGATTAGAAAGAGGGAATGTTCATTTTTCTCTCTGTGTACTTCTCTACCATTCTATAAAACAAGACATCTTTTGGGCTGTCTTTTCCTCTTACACTTTGAGGGTTTGGTAGATAGGAAATCAAGTTTGGAAATAAATGAATACACACACACACAAACACAAATGCCCACATCAGGCACCCACCCAGTCAATCTCTGCATTTACTTTCTCCAAGAATTGGGTTCCTCGTAATTTGGAACTGCAAACAGAAGGCCCATGTCTACTGGTTTTACAAAGCCCTCACCATCCCATCAAGAGCCTGTGTGAGCCCCATGACCCATTCCTGCAGGTTTTAGGCAGCTGTGGCAAAGAAGGGCTCTTGGCACAAGTTATTCCACCCTCTTCACTGCACGTGGACTGGGATGGAGGACCTGTGGGCAAAGGTGGAACAGGCCTGCGGCATCTTTTCTTTTGGATCTTTGGCCTGCCACACTTTCTATTATTCTACTATGCATTTTCTACTGTGGGAAAATGGGAGGAGGGATTGTAGGAGTGAGATGCAATGTAGCCATAACAAAATTCTTTCTAGAAAGTCAAGGTCATCCTTTGTCTTTGAACCTCTGCACCTGACCAGAATTGGGTGGGTGGAAGCTGCCAGCATGGCAGTAGACCATGTGATGGACTTGTGGGTGTGGGGGGCAAGATCTTGAACTTTCAACTGGGTGGGAAAAAACAGGAAGCTTTCAGATTCGGGTTTTCCCAGATGTGCCAACATGGCTCCCTTAACAAATTGGAACTTTGATCAATACTTTGCCTTGGACTCTGATTATTTACTTTTAGATGCTATTTGGAACCCTGACACTTACTTTACTCAAAGAAGCGTAAAAGAGAGGAGAAGGAGAGAGGAAGGGGAAGTAGAGAAGAGAAGGACGACAGAGGGAAGAAAGGAGGTAGGGAGGATTTAGATTTAGATTTAGATTTAGAAGTTTATTTATATGCCGCCCTTTTCCCTGAGAGGACTCAGGGCGGCTTACAACTCGAAAAGGGGGGGGGGGAAACAAACATTTAACATGTAGGACAGTACATCATTAAAAACACAACATTCATACCATTCGGGTGGGTTACAGTCTTTAGCCCCAGGCCTGACGGGATAGCCAGATTTTGAGGGCTGTGCAGAAGGTCTGGGGAGATCGTTCCATAGAGCCTGTCCGAACATGTCTCCGTGGTCATATGGGGGGACATGACTAAATG